TGGGAATTAGCATCAACTCATATTCTGTTAGGGCAGCATAACATTTCAGTTCAATAACACAAATTCATCTTCAAAACTGTCGGTACAGCGTTGCAATCTTAAAACGCAAGAACTGAATTTGTTTTTCTGATCCCTGTATTAGGTTAATGCAGCATTATGAAAATGCTTACTTTGGGTATATCTTTTTCTTTCATACACAGGAACCAAAGACATCTAGATTTTCTGGTGCGAGATTTGTTAAGAATAACAGACTTAATCTCCTTAGGGCCAAATGAATCTAATTTTTGTTTTTCTGTTGAAATTAAATAAAATCTCATGTACTACCTATTTATCGTCTCATGTTAATCTCTATTCTTAACAAAACAAGTTCTTTACAGATTGGCTACCTAACTCAAAAGATGTAGCACATAGTAGAAATACAAGAAAAAAGATTGCTGATTGAATGAGATCATAATCTAATTACTAGGGATAAACAAATACCTATGAATATACTGTTTTGAGACAGCTACATAAATATGTATCCAGTTATCTATGAACTGGAACATTTGAGAGTCAAAAGAATGAATACATGGGAAGCAAATGTCAAAGAGGGGAAAACGCAGCAATTTTTAATATAGTAAATTTAGGTGATCTGAGTGAATTCTAGATTGACTAGACTAATTTATAAGGTCAGGAAGCTGTCCTTTGGGATCTTTTCTATTTATATGAAACAGGCCCAAAATTCAGACAAATGAGTCAGAATGGAGAATGGCATTTACCTAGAGAGAGGCCCAAGACACTTTCCCTTATCTCTAGCCTCCATCCTAAGACTCAGCTAATTGGGCTACAAGAATGGAGTCCTTTAAAGACTCACCCAATATGAAATCATTAAGCCTTTCACATCATAATTTGGCTGCTTCAATGAACATAAGTAGAAACCAATTCAACTTATCAAAAACACCCTATTGTATTTGGAGCTTTGCTTTGGCCAGAGCACTGGATTTAAAAGTACGGATGTTTAAAGCACTGCACGCACTGAATTTTACCCCATCTAGAGGTGAGTTCTCACTTCACTACTCAGGGCAAGGAAACCCTTGTGGTTTCAGTCAAACTAAAGAATTCTCTTATTTTCCACTTCACTGTCACTACTTTGGTACTTGAAGTAGTATAGGGTGGGAGAAGAGGGAGACAAGAGCAGATGTGGCAATGGTAACTTCCCCTAAGCTTTCTGGGTACCATTCTAGGTAGAGGTCTCGTGAACATCTAGGAATTCCTCTCTCCCCCTGCACAGTCTTTTGCTTTTTTTATGGGAGTCAAGACAACTTGGCAAAGGAATAAGGTCACCTCCAGGATGTTTCAGAGACTCCCAGAACTTCCTGTTTTGGCCCTCAAGGGGATTAGAATTTGCCAAATAAGATAATTTATTTTGGTAGTTATGTGTTGAGACGTACAACCTATTTTAATGTCTTTTAACATTAACTACAGGTCAAACTCCACTTTTCATGAGATGTGCTACTGAATCTCTAATTTAGATATTAAAAGGCCACTCTTTCTATTTCTTACCTGTCAAAAGCAGAAGCTAAAGTATGACGAAAAAGAGGTAACATAACACTATCCTTTACAAGGGGCATCTTTTTAGTGAAGCATCCAGCTCACAAATGATCTACAGAGCTTCACTGCATTAAAGTGAAAACAGAGGGAAAACAGGAAGCACCTCGGAAATCATCTTCAAGTTCAATTCCTTTATTTTATAGCTGAAGAAAAAGTGAGAGCAGCCAAAATCTACTCAACTCTTTAATCTGACAATTAGCAAATTCCTGGATTCATTCCTCTTCATTGTGCATTTGTTGTGAAATCGGTTTCAAGAACTTCTTGCATGTCTAGCAAGAAAAGCCGTACCACCCAGTCACCAGAAGCTCTCCTTTCAAATGCCAACAGTGGCCCCTTAGTGAAGTGTTCATGACAAAAGAAGTATTCTCAAAGCTGACAGCTAATTAAATAAACTAAAACCTTGATTAAACTTCTCTTTAGTTCTCACCTTGGTCACAAGTAGAATATATCATTTTCTGTCACATCCACAGTAACAACTTATTGGTGGTGGTGGTTGTGTACCATGGAGTCGGTTCTGACTCATAGTGACCCTGCATAGGGTTTCCAAGGCTGTAAATCTTTAAGAGAGGCAGAACACTTCATCTTTCTCATGTGAAACTGCTGGTAGTTTCAAACTGTTGACCTTGATATTAGCAGCCTGACTTATAACCACTATTAGTGACAGATAAAATGAATGCATATGCTAAAGAATAGGTGCATTTTCCTAAGAGCTGCAACTAGAAACCAGTACAATACAAATTGAATAGAAAAGACAACTGCCACTTTGAATGAAGACACTCTTCCTTTTGGTTGAAGAGGCTATGACCAAATCTTTAAAGAAGTGTATCGGGGATCACGCTTGGTAAAGTGGAGGGCCAGAGAAAAAAGGGAAGACTATCAATGAGTTTTCCAAGAAGCAGCAACACTGGGCTCAAACACAACAATAATTGTGAGGATGGAACAGGACAAGGCATTGTTTCATTCTGTTCTAAACAGGATCACTATGAGTTGAAATTAACTCAACAGCACCACCACCAACCCCAGTAACAATTATGATGTAACCAATTTCAGTTGTTTACCCCTGATCTTCATGAATCAAGACCAAAGTTAAAGGTTTGGGTTAAAGTGGCCATTCACTATAAGAGTTCAGTTTCAAGACACCAAGGAAGGTCATCTTCAAGCCAAAATTAGGCCAAGTTTTCATCCTATTAAAACCCAGGAAAATTATTCCACAAATAGAATGAGAATTTATTATGCTCTGTTTTCCCATCGCTTTAATAACTTTCTGAGAGCATGGACAAATCTAATTTAAAAAAGATAAATCTGGAACCTAGCTCATAAAATTAAGAAAAATACTGTTCCTAATGCTAAGTTTTCTTAAATTGCAATTTGAATGTAGGCAAGTCATTTATTTAACAAGGCGAACATTGGACATTTCTTTGGAGGAAGGGCATATACTGATGATGAAGTTCTGCAGTATTTCTCTCTGGCATATTTATGGCTCAAGACAGTGTGCTCATTTGGACAAGTGCTCATGGAGCTTTTTTTCTGAGCCCAAGAACTGCCCATATCAAGTAAGTAATTAGCTGGACCAAGCCATCTGTCTGACGCATTCTCAGGGTGCTGCCCCTCTCAGGGTGGGAATGCAGTAAGATGGGATCAGGTTTATATGGAGGTCAGTGCTCTCCCCACATTTCTGGAGGTAACAGCAGAGAAGGCTGAACTGGGAGTCAGAAGACACTGACTCTCTAAAACAGTACAACTACATGATAGTCTCTAAAGAAGGTCCTCTCTACCATCAATGGAAACCAAAAGCCCAAGATAAAAATGCAAAGACTTTACAAATAAAATTTCCTCAAAGCTAGCTTTATGTATCTATCATGATTTCTGTTGGTCGATTCTTCCTGTCTTATCAGTCCCCTCCAAGTGAGGAGTCTCTCGACAAATAGCAAGCCCTTGAAAGCTTACAGCACAGAAAGGGGATCTGTGGATGAGTGAAGATGAGTTTAATCGCTAATGAAACTATCAAAAGAAGCCTTACTTTCTGTGTTTTCTACACCAGTACTGGTTTCTAATAAGGAGCTCTAGTAGCGTAGTAGTTACGAATCGGGCTATGAACCTCAAGGTCAGCAGTTTGAAACTACCAGCTGTTACGTGGGAGAAAGATGAGGCTTTCTGCTCCTGTAAAGATTTACAGCCTCGGAAACAACAACAACTGGTTTCCAATAGAACTCTTTGTGGTTTTCAGTGGTCAAGTCTTTGGGTTTTCCTGATCCTTCAAAGTGAAGTTCAAAGGTCACATCCTTCAAGCAGCTTTTCCTAATCTTTGCAAGCAGGTGGTCTTCACCTCCTCCACACTCCTCCCAAACTCCTGTGGTCCTGATGCTCTATAATGACTTGTGAGTTGCTACTATACTCCTAGAGGTACGGTCTTGCATTTTCTTAACTTTGGTCCTTCTCACTGAAGATCACCTCAAACTGTGCCTTCCACCCAAGATGACTCTCCACATGCGTGAAACAATCAACGCACGAGAATGGAGATGGAGATTGGGCAGGGCTTTCTGCAATAACTAGAATTGGTTCCTCTTGTAAAGGAACAGAAATAAATATTGTATGCAAACACTTACAAACGAACACTGGTTTCCCTTGAGCAGGTATTCCATAGGGAGGCAGCAGCAAGTGATTATCCCTTCCGGCTACTTTGGTTTTTATACTGGTTCTCCCCTCCCTCTGCCTGGTTTTCTGATTTGGACTTTTTGGTAACAGAACATTCTGTCATCATTTACTTTTGCTCTACATCTAAATTATTACTAAATACAGTTCAGCTGCCTAGCTTCTGATTGGTCATTTTCAAAGGAAACAAAGTTAGGTTAACAAAATACTAAGTGAAAGGCTGGCTTTGATTTCTATAGCCAAGAGTGTTTCCTGGGCATGGAGTCTTATAAAGAATCTCCTATTTGCCCTGGTTAATTTGATATTGCATTGCCCATAGTTACAGAGAACAATCCCCATCTGTACATCACCCACAGCTATTTCAGATTGGTAAACATGTTTGTCCTGATGGTTACTGAATATTTAAAAAGGTACCATCTCTTCCTGAGTCTTATTTCCCTCTGCACTTATGACTAATATAATGCTATTACATAGTGTGGACTTGAATGAGACAATTTTCTTTTAAAATAATTTCTCTCCATTATCTGGCTGTATGCAAGGGAGGGGAGGAAACAACATAAAATCACATGTAGGGAGATGAGGATTTTCAGATTGTTTAGTTTAGAAGTTCCACCTGGAAGATGCAGGGCACAACTTTGGGTATAGAATGCAGGACCCAAATACATAGGGAATCATTCAACAAGGAAGAATAGTGTTGTAGAGGGCACATCCCATGAGCCAAAGTCAGAATTTGCACATGTATCCTCAGCCCACCTTACCTCTTGTTTCTGTCCTCCAGCTGTAGTGTGTACACCACGTCATCAACAGCATGTGTTTTGGAGTTACTGTCTCCCCACTTTAGCTTCAGGCTCTGAGGACCAGATGCAGCACACTCCAGCCTAGGAGGCAAGGGTGGTAATGGCCGAGTTTTTGCTTTAATGAACTGACTAAATGGTCCAACTCCAATTTCATTTATAGCCTGAATTCTGATCCTGGAAAAAGTAAAAAATACAGACAATACAAGTTTAAGAAGCAGCAGTTCTTCCCTCAAAGTACACACTGCACAGAAAGTTCTTACCTGCCATATTGCAGATAAAAAAACAAACAAACAAAACAAAAACCAGTACGTGAAAGTAATTCTGGACAAATTGAGACCTGGGCTGCTCAGACAACAGCATATATTCTCCATTTATATACAAAAGCTCACTAGCCAGATACCCCTGAGTTCTTTAAATTAAAAATAAAATTATGATTTGTTGTCTGAGGGAAGGCATCCTAAACCATGCCTTTTGTATGGTATTCTGCTGTTGTTGCTGTTAAATACGTCAAGTTGGTTCTGACTCATAGCGACCCTACAAAGGGTTTCCGAGGACTGGCTGATGAGTTTGAACCAACCTTGCAGTCTGGTGCATTAACCAATAGTGCCACACCAAGACTCCATATATTATTCTAGCGACCCTTAAAACCACCACAAAATCCAATGCCATCAAATCAATTCTGACTTATAGTGAACCCTTTATGGAAGCAGACTGCCACATCTTTCTTCCATGAAATGCCTCATGGGTTTGAACCCCTGACCTCTCAAATGGGCAGCCAAGTGCTTAAAGACTATGCCATGAGGAATAATAATAGCATGATTTAAAATTGAATGGAGTTAAATGTATATGTAAAATAATGTTATTACTATTCCTAATTTTTTGTTCCTGTACATTCTCACTAGTAGACTGTGTGTCAGAATAATATACTGAACGCATCACTCCATCTTTGTCCTCAAAACCCTTCCTTCAGTGAAGGAAAGCTCCTGAAGCTTGCTGCTGCCTGCATTTGGAGGCCTGCACAGACCAGTAGCCTCCTCTGTCTCTCTGAACAAAGGTTTCAGCGACCCCTGCTGGTGCTTTCTCTCTTTGCTGGGCAATACAGACATTTCCTACATCTCTCTTCTCTCAAGCATCCTACCAGACTTACACAGCATCATCATCTTTAAGATCACTCCTGAATCACTCTACAGCTCCTCAAATCCCTTCATACCCTGTTTCTAGCTTTCTGGTAAAAATCTCTACTGAGACACCTCACTAGGTATACGTGTATCATTGAGGTGACTGAACACTATAGTGTCAGGGGTTTTAAAGGTCTCGATATTTAAACTTGATGTGAATTGTAAACAGAGTTTTAAGACATATGACAATAAAAAGAATATGAAGGGGCTTCAAAAAGTTCATGGAAAAATTCCATTACCTTTTTATTTCATTTTCCACAAACTTTGAAGTCCCCTTTTATGTTTGAAAGGGCTTTTAAGGAAGAGTTTACTTTAAAAAATATTCTTGTAATTCTGTTTTAATATACTGTTTATAATGATTGCTTGTGGTTAAATGGAATCTATTAAATATTACAATATCTAAATTCACTATGTTACTTCAAATTAGCCTGAATTATTCTAATGTAACCAATTTAAAGATTGCATCATTCAGCAAGTCAACCTAATACTATGCTTATAAATCACTCAGGGGGGAAAATGGGTTAATTGCAGGAGAACACACACCCTACCCCGTTTCTCCCATTAAATGTAGCTGCTAAACCTGGACAAAATGAATGGAGCAAGAACGTAAGATTCTGAAAAGTTAACAGAAGCAGGAGGACTGGGAGCCCAGAATTCAGAGTACCACCCAAACCCGCACTGAGCCGCCATTTTACCCCTCCATTTACCACCCAGCCTGGACTCAGAGCCCTTCAGAGAAGCCTCTTGTGCTGCCTCAAGGAGACAGGAGTGGTTTCCCAGTGATAGGAGAGGGCATTTCCTCGTTCCTCTCGTTTATGTTCTTTTCTCCATTCTCTCATGCTCAGTCCCTATGCAATCCCATCATAACAACTGTTTCAAGAACGAAAACCACAAGCTATCAACTGACAGAGAAAAATCATTTGGCAAAATTCAACATCTATGAATTCTTCTCAGTGATTAAAAGGAATGTTCTTAGGCTGAAAAAGGGCATCTACAGAAATACCTACAGTTAACATCACTTAATGAGAGAAGACTAAGTGCTTTCTCTATGAGATCAGGAATAAGATGAGAATGTCTATTTTCACATTCTTGTTTAATACCATATCTAAATCTAAAGTCCTACCGATGTTAAGTGCTCATAGCGACCCTGTATAAGGTTTCTGAGGATGTAAATCTTTGTGGGAACAGAAAGTCTTATTTAGTCAATGCAAAAAAATAAATAAAAAAACTGGGAGTGATGGTAGCAAGGAAAAACAAATGTCACTGAAGTCACAAAACACCACAGTTGAAAAAAATCAAACATTGTTCAATAAGCAGGGAAACACATGGTGCTTACAAGCAGGAAGTCTTCAACAGCTAGAATGCCAATTTTCCCCAAATAATCTATAGAGACCTGTTGTCACACTGCAGGAAAAGCACTGGACCATAATGGCAGTTTGAATCACAAGGGTGGAGGTTCAAAATCACCAATTGCTCCTTGGAAACCCTGTATAGGGGTTACTATGAGTCAGAACTGACTTGACAGCACTTAATAACAACAGCAATCTACGGATACAATGCAATTCTAAGAAAATTCTGGCAAGACTCTTGACAATTTATGTGGAAAAGTTAAACCAAATTTGAAAAACTAGAATAAAGTTGGAAGACTCAGTACCTGCTTTTAAGACTTTACTATAAAGCTACAGTAATCAAGACAGTGTGGTACTGATGAAGAGACAGACACATAGATCAATGCAACAGAATAGACTCCCAAAATAGACCCACACAAATATGGCCAATTGATTTTTTTACAAAGGTGCAAAAGCAATTCAATGGAGAAAGAATAGTCTTTTCAACCAATGGTGTTGTGACAATTTAGAATCAATCAAAAAAATAAATATATATGCCTCAACCTAAACTTCATACTCTTTACAAAAATTAACTCAAAACTGGTCACAAATCTAAATGCAAAATATAAAGCTTTCAGAAGCCCAAGAATGAAATCTTCGCTGATTAGGGAAAGAGTTTTTAGCTATCCTATCAAAATTATGACCCATAAAAGAAAAGAAGAAGAACAGTTAGACTTATTAAAAATGTTTCCAGTGCTAAGAGATTGAAGACAAGCTACATGCTACAAGAAGATACTTCCAAATTATGTATCTGACAAAAGATTTACATCTAGGATGTTTAAAGATGCTCAAAAGTTAACAGGAGGAAAACAAACAACCCAATTTAAAAAATGGGCAAGACTAGAAGAAATACTCCTAACACAGAGGAGATACAGATGCCCAATAAGCAAATAAAAAGATGTTCAACATCACTAACAATTGTTGTGTTAGGCACCATACAGTCAGTTTCGACCCATAATGACCCCTATGTACAACAGAATGAAACACTGTGCCATCCTCACAATTACTGCTACTCTTCAGCACACTGTTGTTGCCACTGTCTATTTCTCCTCATTTTGAGTTGTGCCCCATCAGCAAATTAAAAGTCCTGAAAGCTTTACTCCATTCCGGTCGTCATGGTCAACTCTCCTTTGAGGAGGCAGCCCTTCCCCAGTTGTATTTTGTGTGCCTTCCAACCTGAGGGGCTCATCTTCTGGCACTCTATCTGACAATATTCTGGTGCTGCTCATCATGTTTAGTATTCAGTATTCTGGAGCTATCTGACAATGTTTCACTGCTATTCATAAGGTTTTCAGAGGCTAAACATTCGGAAGTAGTCCGCCTCTCCTTCTTCTATGCCCGTCTTCGTCTGGAAGCTCAGCTAAAACCTGTCCACCATGAGTGACCCTGCTGGTATGAAAATACCAGTGGCATAGCTTCCAGTATCAGAGCAACATGCAAGCCACCACAGTGCAACAAACTGACAGATAAGTGGTGGTCACTGCATTTGTTGTTGTTGTTAAATACTGTGGAGTTGGTTCTGACTTATAGTGACCCTGCATAGTGTTTCCGAGGCTGCCAATCTTTATGGGAGCAGAAAGCCTCATCTTTCTCTCGTGAAACAGCTAGTAGTTTCGAACTGTCGACTGTAAGGTTAGCAGCCCGATAAGTAACCACTATGCTAGGAAAATGAAAATGAAAATCACGAGATACCACTAAATCCTTATTGAAAGTGCCAAACCAAACCAAGAACAAAAATGCAACCACACAACAAAACTTAGCAACATCAAGTGTTGACAAGGATGCCATATTTTACTGGTGAGAATGCATAATAGAAAACCGTTTGTTTACTATAAAGTTACTTAACATATTATTTACGTTCCATCAAGTCCATTCTGACTTGTATAGGGTTTCTGTGCAGTGGCTGGTAGGTTTGAAACTCCTACCTTGCAATTAGCAGTTTAGTGCTTATTTGGAGTCTAGTAAATCCCATTCCTAGGTATTTACTCTAGAGAAATTAAAATTTATGTTAACTCAAGATCCTGCATACAAATGTTTATAGCAATCCTATTCACAATCACCTCAAACTGGATCAACTCTGTCTCATAGTTTGAAAAGCAGTAAATACTTATCACTGATAAAGTATAGCAAAACATTCCATTAAAAGTACCTTCCTTTCCCCAGATTCTATTACAAGAGGGGACATACCAGGTCTCTTAAAGATAATGCAATATAAGTCTCTCAGTATAACACTGAAAATTAAAATAACCCTTATATCTCAATGTGAACCTTATAATCAAGCTTTGTGGTATTAAAACAAGAGGTCTCTTGTAAAGTAACAATACTTTCTGCAAAATGTAATCATCATGAAGCAGAAATTACTACCCTGGTTCTCTTCCCAGAAAAGGATTAAGACTCAGTCTTTCTTCCATATCGTACTAAATTTCTTCATCTACAAGACACATACTATGGTCTTTCTAACATCTAAACTATGGTTTCTTTCCTGTACACTGAACCTTCCTTCCCTATATTTTCAGGCAAAGATTCTTTCTCCTAGTTTCTATAGTCCTTCAGAGCCAAGCTCACCTTTCTTCCTGACAGTTTTATCACTTTGTACCATGCAGCTCAG